ATGTGTGTGGTGTGTGCACGTGTGTGTGCGCATGTGTGTGGCATGTGTGTGCATGTGTGTGGTGTGTGTACGTGTGTGCATGTGTGTGGTGTGTGTCTGTGCATGTGTGCATGTGTGTTTTGTGTGCATGCATGTGGCATGTGTGCAGTGTGGTATGTGCACATGTGTGTGATGTGTGAGTCTGTGCATGTGTGTGCATGTGTGTGGTGTGTGAGTCTGTGCACGTGTGTGCATGTGTGTGGTGTGTATACGTGTGTGTGCAAGTGTGTGGCATGTGAGTCTGTGCAGGTGTGTGCATGTGTGTGGTGTGTGCACGTGTGTGCATGTGTGTGATGTGTGAGTCTGTGCAGGTGTGTGCATGTGTGTGCTGTGTGCATGATGTGGCATGTGTGCCGAGTGTGGTATGTGCGTATGTGTGTGGCATGTGAGTATGTGCATGTGTGTGGTGTGTGTACGTGTGTGTGCATGTGTGTGGCATGTGAGTATGTGCATGTGTGTGGTGTGTGTACGTGTGTGTGCATGTGTGTGGTGTGACTCTGAGCACGTGTGTGCATGTGTGTGGTGTGTGCATGCATGTGGCATGTGTGCAGTGTGGTATGTGCACATGTGTGTGGTGTGTGAGTCTCTGCACGTGTGTGCATATGTGTGATGTGTGTCTGTGCCCGTGTGTGCATGTGTGTAGTGTGTGTCTGTGCACATGTGCACAGGTGTGTGGTGTGTGAGTCTGTGCACGTCAGTGCATGCACATATGTCAGGAGCGAGGGTGGGTGGTAGGAGCACACACGACCTTGCCCTGCCTCCTCCCGTCTCCCGTGTTTCACGCCCTGTGAGTCTATGTGTCTGTGGGCACCGACACGAGGGCCGCTCCCATCCCACCTGGCGTGTGTTCCACCTTTGGGGAATCCCATGTGCTTCCCTGTGGATGCTGGGTGCCCACAACCTCACAGGATCATGGCTTTTGTCTGGGGCCGAGCACCCCTCATCTAAGGGTGCGGAGCGGGGGACAGGCTCGCAGGGCACACACCACGCCCTGTACCTGCGGGAAGTGGGCCTGGGAGCCGCACCTGGAAGCCCATCACCCATACGCTGGTCTTGGCTGAGTGGACTGAACAACTCCACGTTTGTAAGGCGTGTCTGCCTGGGGCAGTTAACTCTGAGGAGCTTTCTCTTCCAACGCTGAGCAGTCATGAGTTCCTGCCATCTGGTCTCTGTCAACCCTCTGCTGACCACTGCGCAGAGGGTGGGATCCAACCCAGTTCTGACCAGGTGAGCCCAAGGCTGCCCGGCACAAAGACGGCCCTGGGCCCTGGAGCTGTGCCGGAAGGAGGTCTCCCGACAGGCGCACCTGCTCCTTCCTGAGTCCCACACACCACAGGCCCAGCCCCGTGGGGTCCTGCGTGATGGGTCTTTGAAGGAGGCCCTTCTGCAGCTGCCCAGCCTGCCAGTGTCCACTCCGCAAATGCCAGGAGCCACTGCCTCCCACCCCCGGCCCCAGCCTGCCTCCTGCCGCTTACAGAACCTCTGCTGTGCCCTGGAGAACCCAGGCACCTGCCTTCCCGTCCCTCAGCGGGGCTTCATGGAGGGAAAAGAGCTGCTCGGCCGCAGAATAACCTTCACCAGGAACAACATTATCTCTTCCAATGTAGCGTGGCGCGCCGCCTGGCTGGCTCCCAGGAGCCCGTCTGACCCGCAGACACGCAGCGTCGTTATTAGTGATGCGGGCGGTCCCAGTGACGCCGCACAGGGGAAGCCGGGCGTGCAAACGGCCCAGCAGAGGACGCCAGCGGGAGCCA